ATATGCTCTTAGTGCATCATATCATGAGTGGAGTGAAGAGAGCATAATATGACCAGCCATTCCATCCTCTAATGGGATTCCGAGGAGTTCCATGTGCTTGAAGAGCCTAGTCATTCTTGCCACATGGGGTCGGAGGGGCATACCCGGTCTCAACTTGGTGTTGCATACCATAGACCAAAGATGGTACCTCTCTTTAGCAAGACAACCTTGATCTAATGGCTTCACATTCATGTCTGTAAGTGACCTAGTCACCTCAAACAAGAGTCCATCATTGTTGTCGTTGAAACTCTTAGAGAATCTCACACCGACAACATCCCTTAGTCCTCCAAGGAATAAGTCCGGAAAAGAGAATGGAAGTTTTTCTTTCCATTCTTCCGGGATGGAGTTAGCCATGAGTTGTGACACTAATTTGCAATCATTGGACCATGCACAATAAGTTTCGTCACTCAAGTCTTTCTTGGTACAGAGGGTTGGGAGGGAAGTATCCAGAACATACTCCTAGGAACAGCTCCGGAGAGTTTTCCTGAGTTCTTCTTCCCATTCTTCAAGGTTTGTCAAGTTAAGCTTGATAGCCAACTTATCGGGGAGATCCGGGCACATTTGGTTGTTTTTTGAGTTACTTGCAGACATTGTTCTACAATTGAAAGAATTTGAAATGAAAAACCATCCATAAACCAATAAGTTAAAAGCGTTCATGCATGTTTTCAATCTTATTGAGCATTTTATCCACGCATTGATAAATTTGTCCCTTTTGGGTGAGAATAAAATGATTCCGAGATCCCAAAGATCAAGAAATGGTTAAGCATGCTTTGGCTTGTCTTAATCATTAAATATCTTAAGGTAAGCAATCCAATAGCTAATAGCTCTAAGCTATTCTCGGTTTGATAAAATGTCGCATCTAATGCATTCTTGACGTTTTATTTCTTTTGCCACGACATCTAAGGACTCCTTACTGATATCGTTGAGCTTAACCAAGACAACTTGTATACCTAGTATACCTTACGTTCCTAGGGAAGTAGTGATGCCTCGCTTTGGCGTAGCCCATCACATACGCGCATTAGTTCGGTAAGTGTTGTTCTTGGAACGGCAAATTTTAGCTCAATATTATTAAGGGACCTAGGGTTTCTATGTTGGTTGATTTAAGTGAACTTAACTAATCGTCGCAACATATGAAATCCTAGACATGCATCTAACATTCATATATAACAATAATATATATAAAGCATAAATTGATGCATTTGGCAACTAGCATGACCCCTTGAAATCTTCAAATCTTCAAGGGTCTTTATTTTTGGCTCGTCTTCATCGAAACGCCGTCTTGAGACATCTTTGCCAAAATAAAATAACTAGCTACTACGACTAAGATTAATCTAAAGTACAAATATACTTAACGGTTCGCAGACCGTATTTAGATTTACAAAAATACATAACGGAACGCAGTCCGTATTTTCTATCCTAGTCGGGTCCTACTAGTCGCCTTTTTCAATAACCTGTTTTGAAAACAATCTTTCATTCACCCATTCACTATTTATGAATGGCCCATGCATATTACGAAATACATAATTAAACACGCAAAACTAGTAACTAACTTAGGTGGTTAATCCGATTAACGCGCCTAATTAAAACTAGTCAAAGTTGTTTAATCCATTATTTCTAAAATGCAAAAAGCTCACGTAATTAACTAAACTCCCACTAAATTCCGCATCCATACTTAATCAATCTGATTAATTAAGTTGGCATAACCCATAAATTGTCAAAATTTTGCAAAAACCGATAAATCGAGGTTTCAACCTCGTTAAAGTAATTACATAAATATTTTAAAACGGCAAAAATTGCAAAATACATAGCCCAAAAATTAAGCAACGTAGCCACAACCAAGCATGGTGCATTGTGCACCATGGCTGCTAGACAGTAGTGGGCTGGCTAGCTGGGGCTTGCTGCCTCGCTGCCCAGCAGCAGCACAAGCACGCCAGCAGCCTACGCTATACACGCACCAGCAGCATCAAGGCCTGTGCTGGCGCTTGGTGCTAGCATGCTGCGCCCAGCACAACACACTACGCTGGCCAGTACCAGCTGCTTGCTGCGCATGCTAGCTCGCATGCTAGCGCCTGCCAGCAAGTGGGGGGTTGGCTGGTGCTTGCTACCACGCTGCCTAGCAGCATCCCAAGCAACCAGCAGCCAATGCCACTACCCAAGCCCAGCGCCTTAGCACCCCTCACCACACAGCCACGCACCATTGATGCTCAGCCCATGCGCGCACCATAGGCAGCCTACATGTGGGCTGCTAGGCAGCCCGACTAGCCTTGGTGACGCTTGCGGTTTTGCATCGATTTGCGTGCATTTTACTCGATTTTGATCCCGAGTTATGTGTGGCATAAATTAATTCTAAATTTTATTTTAGAATCAATTTGAGGAAAAATTAAAATAAAATAAGTGTAAATTAAATTCAATTTTAGTGGTGCATAAGAGCACTCCCAGCAGTGAGTGAAAAAGCCCTCACGAGTAAAAGTTAAGGTGTAAAAAAAAACCGAACACCACATCAATGAGAGGAATTGCTCTCATGGTTGAGGGGATTGAAAAAACGCTCAAGAGATGAGGAGAAATAAGGATGAACTTGTGGGACCCCCGTAAAACTGACGCCAACATTAGTGGATTGTTGAGATTGCAGCCAAAACGCGTTATTTTGTGCTTGCTGAGGCCAAAATGACGACATTTTGGTTGGAATCTCAGAAAAAAAAAAAATTAATTTGCTGGCAACTGACGCGCGTCAGGTCAGCCTATGGGGAAGCGACACGCGTCGCAGAAAATTCCCCTTTTTGCAACGGTAATAATATTTAGAACTGTAATATTGCCATTATAAAAATTTTAAAAAAAAAATTCACCAACGGCTATAAAATTTTTTCCTCTATAAATAGAGATGCATTTTGATATATTTTGATATAATTTCAAAAACCTAAAAAATCTCTTATATTCACTAATTTCCCAATCCTCAATTCTTCTTCTTCTTCTTATTATTAATTACGGTTTTCTTTTAAAAAAAATTACTGTTATAATAATAATAATAATAATAATAATAATAATAATAATAATAATAATAATAATAATTACTGTTATTATTATTATTATTATTGTTGTTATTATTACTTTTATTATTATTATTATTGTTGTTGTTGTTGTTTTCATTTTTTGAAAATATAATATTTTATTGTTTTTTTAGTAATTGTTGAATTTCTTACAAATTATTGTTTAAAGCTTTATTACTTTACTACTTTATCATCTTATGGATCCTAACAACCCTGATTTTTCTAATCATTTCTCTTATTTGGGTGATGATTTTGTCACTAATCCTCGATTTCAGCTGTTCCTACAAAGGCTTGGAAACACTTCTTTGCAAAATTCACCACAACAAACACCTCATCAAACTCCTTTAGAAAACACTGCCTATGCACCACATTCACCTCTTGTTTATCAAGGGAGCAATTCTGAATTTGATGATGAAATTGAAGAAACTGTTCCAGACACTCCTCAATACTCTCCACCTCCTCCAAGAGTGTCTGTGAATCAAAACCAACCACTTACAAAAGGAAGTCGAATGTGGTCTGTTGCGGAGGATGAAGCTCTAATTGGTTTGTATCTTTAATTCAGTGAAGATGCAATTGTTGGTACAAACCAAAAAGCAGCTGCGCTATGGCGAAAAATATCTACAGCATATGATCAAGCGCAGGCTGAGAAACCCCACATCCTACCGCCAAGACCTTTGAGGAGTTTGGAAAGCCGTTGGAGAAGGATGGAAACTGATTTAATACAATGGAGTAGTTGCTATGACGAAGCTGGAAGGGCAACTGGAAGTGGTTACAACGAAGTAGACTGAATTAATAATGCGAGTAAGTTATTCTATATTTCCTCCAAGCCTACTCCACATAATTTTAATTGTCACCATGGTTGGGAAATGGTTAAAAATGACCCGAAGTGGAGGACAAAACTGAGGTGGGCGTTGTCAAGAGAGGAAAGATTAGCTTGCGGTGATGCTGTCGAAGATGACAGTAGTGGAAGTGAAAAGCGGTGTAGAACCGAAGATGAAGATGTTGTTCCCGTTACCGGTTTCAGTTCTGAGTTAAAAAGGCAAAGTCCAGGCGTAATAAGGGAAAAGGAGTGGCTTTTGAAGTCTCAAACATTAGTGAGCAAATGCAGTAGAATAATGCAAGTAGGGAAATTGAGGCACAAATGCGGTTGAAGAAGTTGGATTTCGACATGGAAAGGGAAAAAAGGAAGCAAAAACAAGTAGAGCTTCACCAAAAACAAGTCGAAATTCAAGAGAGAAGGCTCAACTATGAAATGCTGCAAGATCTAATGGCAAAGGGACCGGACCTAACTCCTGATGAAGAGGCTTACAAGGAAGAATTACGTGCACTACTCTATGGTAGAAGGAACATGTAATAATGATCAGCTTAATGTGTTTGCTACTGTTTTATTTAATTAATGTTCAATGTAGTCCTTTTTATTTTAATTAATGTTAAGATGTACTCCTTTTTATTTACATTAATGTGAAATGAATTATGTTTTTTATAACATTAATTATGTAGTAAATTATTTACTTTATGAATTTTTTTTTAAATAATAATCACATGTACTGGTTAATGACAAATATACAACTGAACACAAGTAATGATAATGATATAGATTATTGAAGAGTCAAATTTACTGTTCAAGTGTCATAGATCACATGCATCAATAATTCAATTGCAATTCAGCGTGCAATGACACATCAATTTCATTGCAAAGATTGCATTGAAGTGTCATATGGACTATATATACATGCATGACACATCAATTATATTGCAGAGATTGCAATGATACATAAATTTCAATTCAGAGTTACTCACATGCAAAATCAGAGTAACTCACATGCAATGATAGTCACTTGGACTATATATACATGCATGTGTTATTCAGAATGGAAAGAATCCTAAACAAACCAACTATCAAACCATAACGAAAACATGTCTTTCATTTCCTCCACCTCAAGCTCTAGTTCTTCTGATTTCTCAAATACCGTTGAATTTGATCGGTTAGTTGATGATTATGCTGCTAACCACCTACCTCATATTTTAATTCCCCAACACTCATCACAAGAATCCCAGCTTAATAATGATATAGAAAATGCCCCGAAGCCTAAAAGGGATAGGGAAAGAGAAAAAGGGCATGTGCAACTATATAACGATTATTTTGCGAGTAATGCAGTGTATAACGACAACCAATTCCGCCGTAGATTTTGTATGCGAAGATCTTTGTTCTGTCGCATTATGAAGAAGGTGGTTGAAGGGGATCAATTCTTCCAACAACGTCGGAATGCAGCTGGAAAGCTTGGTTTATCACCGTTGCAAAAATGCACCGCAACAATAAGAATGTTAGCGTATGGCGTATCCCCCGATGTCGTGGATGAATATCTACGTATCGGCCAAACAACCTCAAGAAATGCATTGCAACATTTTTGTCAGGGGGTTATTTCACAATTTGAAAGTGAATATCTACGTAAACCTACAGATGAAGATCTAAGGAGAATCCTTCACCAAAATGAATTGCGTGGGTTTCCAGGCATGATTGGTAGTATAGACTGCATGCATTGGGAGTGGAAGAATTGTCCTACGGCTTGGAAAGCACAATATGCTGGTCGTAGCAAAACTGCAACCCTCATTCTTGAAGCCGTTGCTGATCAGGATTTATGGATTTGGCATGCGTTCTTTGGAATGCCTGGCTCATGTAATGATCTTAATGTCCTTTACCGTTCAACGGTGTTTGATGATGTTTTACAAGGTCGTGCACCACCAATAAATTTTTGGGTAAACGAACATCAATATGAGTTGGCCTACTACTTGGCAGATGGGATTTACCCGAGATGGCCAACTTTTATACAAGGTATAACACATCCTCAAGTTCAAAAGACAAGTTGTTTGCTGATCAACAAGCAGTAGTTCGGAAAGACGTTGAACGGGCTTTCGGAGTTTTACTAGCCAGGTTTGCTATACTACAACAACCAGCACTTGCATACGACGAAGATATTCTTTGTGACATTATGAAAGCCTGTATAATAATGCACAACATGATCGTCGAGGATGAACGACACAACTACACACGTGCAGATGTTTTGAGACGATACTACGAAGAAGATCGACCACAACGTACAGCAGCGCGGCCAGGACCGAGCACAAGTGCCACAGTGAATAACAACGAGCCATTTGAATTCAACGTCGGGCGGCAACCAAACATTGATTTCAACGCGTACTTTCAAAGGAGGATTGCCCTTCGTGATAGAGAAATTCATTCGTCTCTCAAACAAGATTTAGTAGAACACATATGGCAGAACTTTCGTCATAACACAGCCGAATAAGCAAATTTGTAGTTTGTAATCGTATCGTTTTTAGGTTTTAATACTCGTGTTCGTGTATTAGTTTAGGTCAAACCGCTTTTTTTAAGTTCGTAACCGTACTGTTTATTATTATCCGATGTATTTGTATTGTCGTTTATGTGTTCATTTCAAAAATGCGCTTCTAATTAATCGTTTAAGCTAAAAAAAACATCTTTTGTAGAATCTATAATTGCTATTATGTGCTTTAGTTATTATATTCTATTTAAAACGTTAAATAAAAAATTACATTGTAAATGGTATATTCAGAAATTTTAACCGTAAATAATTGAATAAATAAAAAATTAAAAAAAAATTTACAAAAAAAAATAAATAATTATTAATAATTATTACAGTATAATTAAAACGTAATTATAAAAATAAAATATTACATATTTTTAAATGTATTGGAAAGTTACATATGTAGTATAAACATTATTAAAAAAAAAAAAAAAAGACCAAAAAAGGTGATGTGTATTATGGTGGGGTATAGTAAATAGGGGAGGATATAGTGATGAGGAGTTTTTTTTTTTAGCATTGGTGTAGTAAAAAAAACCTCTCATGAGAGGAATTGGATGGGAAGAGTGGGAAAGTGGGTAGAGAGAGATTGAGGGGTTTGTTTTCTCCTCACTGCTGATAGTGGTCTAAACCTTAATCATTCAAAAAATTATTTTGAAACAATTTTTAGGTCTTTCTTTATGCTTAAAATTGAATGAGCTATGTCCATAATTAATTTAGCCAATATGCAAATTAATAATGGATTTGACAAATGGGAGTTAAAAAAAAAAAAAAAAAAAAAAAAAAAAAAAAAAAAAAAAAACTAACCATCTAATGATAAAAAATTTTCCAACTTTCATACTTGTGTAAAATACCAAGATTACATCTTTCAATATGAAGATTAATCAAAATTTTACTCACAAGTATTTGAACTTCATGGATTTCAATCAACCAAAATGAAAAAATCCAAACTTTGTTCAATATGGAATTTAGGGTTAGAGTTCCAATCATTTAAACTTTTAAAGATTATATCTTTCACATACTTAGGATCTTAAAATTACACATACACATCAAACATTCACACATTAATGCAATTTATTTGCATAATTGTGAAAAATCAAGTTTGTGTGACAAATAACATATTAACTCAAGCACTAATTCAAACTCCATAATTATGCTTAAGGATATTAAAATAGCAGTAGATTAGGGATGCAATAATGCATTTAATCTAACCTTGTAATGCTTGCATTAATCAAGGCTTAAAAGATTTAGAATTTTCGTTGAAAAACGAAAAAACCCCAAAAACTTGGGTTTCTGGTTCGAATTTGGCTTCTGGACAGCTTTCGAAGAGGGTTAAATCTGTTTCAGAATGTCGATTCCACCCAAAAACACTATTTTTGAGCAAAAATTTGGGTTCGACAGCCAAATCGAGAAAAAAATACGAGTTTTAAAATTAATTAAAACGAGCTTCTAATCTAATTAGAAAAGCAAAACCAGAATTTAAATCTTACTTTAAAACACCTTAATTAATAAATAATTGCAAAAATTAAAAGGAGCATGGCTCTGATACCACTGTAGGGTTTCGTACTGACCCTCACTACGCGGAATGAAACCCGCCAAGACCCGCCCCCATAATAAATGCAATTAACAAGCAAAACATAATTTAAATCATAAGAAAGGATAAAAGATTTTACCTTTGACGCGTGCTTCGCTCAACTATGAGCTCTTACTTGAACCCCGATAGTGCGAGGTCTCCGACGGGATCGTACCCTCGAACCCGACCCGATCGTCCTAAGCCTCGAAGGTTAGTCAAGGCCCGGACAAAATAAACTAGAGCTTTACGAATTTCAAGGTATGCTCAACAATGGAGTTTTCTTTACTTTTCAACTCAAGTGTGTTATTTCCCAAATACCCAAGCCTTGGTATTTATAGGAAATGAACCCTTGATTTTCATTCCCCAACCAATGTGGGAGAATGAGTTATTTTGATAATTAATTTAATTCCAAATTAAATTAATAATCAAATCAATCACAATGCAACAAGTGTCAAGGGGAGAGAGAGAGTTAAGTGAGGACCAAGAGAAGGTGGGGGGACCATTGCCTTGCTCCCCAAGGCTTTGCCTAAGCCTTGGTCCCCACCCCTCACAAAACCGGCACAAGGCATTTAGGTGAGCTGGCTGCTTGCTTTGCTGGCCAGCTAGCACAGCCACCCTAGCATGCCCAGCTGGCATGCACAGCACCATCACCCAGCCCTCCTAGCACTTGCGTGTTGCTAGCGAGCCACACCTTGTGCTGGGCGCTGCTGCCTGGCCATTGCACACACACACGCACACGCACATGCATGCTAGCTAGTGCGTGGTGCTGCTGCCTACCCCTTCTCGCACATACTCGCATAGCCAGCATGCGTGCTGCTAGCGAGCCACACATGCTGGCCCTTGCCTTGCAAGCCACACGCACAAGCATGCGAAGCTTGGTGCTGTGATGCTGCGACATCTTACACGCATGCGCATACACGCATGGCCTAGCCATGCGACAGTGCCATGCTTGTGTTGCGGTTGGTGCGACAGCCCAAGGCACATGCACACGCACGCACACGCACCAGTGCCTAGCACTGCGATGGTGTTGTGCTTGTGCGGTGGGTTGTGCGAAGGTGTTGCCATGCCTTGCGAAGGCTGCGATGGGCTGCCTCGTGCGCCTAGCACTCATGCCTCGCCTAGCATACCATGATGCGCCTAGCACACACATAGTGCGCCTAGGCTTGCGATGAGCTAGCCTAGCCTAGCACTTCACATGGCTAGGCCAATGTGATGCTACGGCTATGTTCGTACTTGTTGCTTGTGATTTTGCGACGCTCGACCTCGACGCCCTAGGCTCGATATCCGACGTCTGTGTTCGTAAAACTCTGACGACTCATTAAATCGTTCGGATTAATTCGTCGTCTCGGATCGGTTGTTCGATTGGGTTCGACCCGAAGGGTTCAGTTAAAATTAAGCTGTAATATTAATTATACCTTAATATTACTGATCGGAAGCGGCCTCCACATAGGCATTCCGATCACTTGACCTTACTGAAGAATTAGCTCTGTAATAATTCTGAACCCTCTATTAGAATAATACACTTGTTGGAAGGACACCATTCCTTTCACACAGCAGTTGCCTGTCTTTGCTAACTCTTTTAGGGACAAAAGCACCTCCCACTCTAAGGCAAATGTCAACCATACCATCATTGTCACCCATTATCTACCCACTAGTGAAAGAGATATCCTACATATTAAAAGCCATTTAATATTTCAACAATGTATCAATACATGCACATTATGAATAAACAAATCCATCCCAATTTTCAAACTTACACTACAAAGCACCAATTCCAACATTTATGCATGAACAATTGAAACCTAATTCAGGTACTCAGTAACATAAATTAATAAACAAATCACACATGTACAGTTAATAGTAGCTTAATTAACAAAAAACCACTTTAATTAATCTCTAATTTCAATTAAGGACTCCAATTAACCTAAGTCGCATAGTCAATTGCAGAAAATTGATTATTTTAGGGTTTCCTATTGCCAAAATTGACTCTAATTTAGCCAAAAAGTGCTATTTTAACACCAGTAATAGACGAAATTGCTATCAAAAGATAAAAAAAAATACCTTCTTTGGTGTCAGATTTCCAGCAACTTTCGCCCTTTTCTAGTTGATGAAGATGGGTGGAAATGTGAAAATTTAATGTGAAAATCTTCAAGATTCAGAAAGAATTCAATGAAGATGGTTGGTGAGAATTCAATGAAGGAAGAAGGTACGTGTTTTGCTGGCTGAAAATTGGAGGTAAAACCAAATCCTAGGACCCATGTCAATTTTCCGTCACAAAAAACATTAACTGGTGGTAAATTCAAATTTTTAATTTTTTATGCGGTGTTAAAATAATTTTTTTTTTTGGGGGTGTTAAAAGCTATTACAGCCTTTTGTCTGGTGTTAAAATCCAAAATATCCTTAAAAAAAACCTTATCAATTATCATGTTAATTTGACAAGTGTGTCTAATTTGATTGTGTCAATTATTATATAATAGTTTTTCATCCGTTTTTTAATATTTGTAACACTTCCTTTAAATGAAATAGCCACAATACTTGCAACACATTATAATTGGAAAGGTTTTTTATTGTTGAAGTTGTACATTACCCTTATTTTAAGATTATGACCCACATAATTATTCTCCTAAAAATCTCTCGCCCCTATTTTAAGTGAATTAAAAATATATGAGACCCACTTTTCTTAAATACCGTAAAAAATGTGTGTTGCAAGTCTTAAAAACGTAGGGAGTATAAAGTGAAAGGTGCACTCAAGGTTATTATTTTGCTCATTTCATATTATCAAAATGAGAGAAAATACCATTTGTATATAGGAAAAATACACTTTAATAATCCCAACTATGGGCGATTTACTTTTAATAATCCCAACTAAGGTTTTTATCTAATAATCTCAACTATGCTATGTGTTTGCCTCCAATGGTCCCAATGACAGGTAACCTGCTGAAAAAGTGTGTTTTTTTGGGGTTTTAATAGACACGTGTCAACACGTGATTACTCCAAAATTTAAAAAAAAACTAAATAAATAAAAACATAATTTTACAAAAAAAAAACCCAAAAGATCTCAGCCACCTTCCCCCACCGCGAAACCCTAGCCTCACCCCTAAACTAGCCAGAACCGGTCGGCCACCACCCTAACCACCGAAACTGGCCGACCGGCCCTCTACAATCCCAACTAAGCTAAACCCCGACCCCAGAAACCACCTACCCAGCCACCCCGATCCCAAAAACCACCAAGTCCAACGAAACCACCTCCACCGCAAAACCCTAAAACTCAGTGAAAATTGCTGCAATTGGAGATCGAAATTGATGAGATTAATAACGAATTGATATTTGCAGGTGGATAATTAGCGGAGCAAGGGTTGCGGTTGGTTGTAGATTTTAAGAGTGCAAGATGGTG